GTGCTGGCCGTGGCGAACACCCATTTGATTGCCAAGTACTTGCAGATCGTGACCTGTTTGCAGGTGGATTTGACTCTTTCTGGCGAACAAGGGCCTAACCTGAACTATGGAGGTGCACAGGCCCTTCTTCCAAGGATCAGATGGAAGGTGAGCTTCCATTGAAGGGTCTGCGCACTTCCGTGTCGGGGAAGTTTTATTGCACATGGCTCATGGTGTCCAATGCCTCTAGCCAAGTGAGGGGTCTTGCGTCAGGTGACTGACGGGCGAACAGACGGGCGGTTCAGGTTTGGCCAAACCTGGCTACTGGGGATCATGGGAAGGGACTTTAAAGCCGCCTACCCCCCACCCCCACCTCCCCCTTCTGCCTACCCCTACAGTACCTACCATAGATGGACGAAATCTTAAAACCTTTCACTATCAATTAACCCCCCCCTGGTTAGCCCCTCCCCCACCCCGCCACTGCCCCAGGCTACAGTACCCCCATGGCAGAAGCGGCAACGCCGCGCGACACATATTACTGGACCAAGCATCACGGGTGAATCAACCCATCAGCCATGGCTAGCAGAGTTTGATTCTTCGACACCTCGTAGAAAGCCATAGCCTTGTTTGGCGCGCCGGCCACCGGTCAGCCGCAGCCCCCCATCTTTGGTTCCCAGACATGAGCCATGTGACGAAGTAGGGCTTGAAGCGTGGGGCATGGTCCTTTGCACTTAAACCCCTGAAGCAATCCGATGATGTATGTATTGTTAACTACTGTATGTTTTAGATGTTCAGCAGGAATGTTGACAGCTTCACCGACTTTGCTCCTGGCAGAACATGGTTCCTTGCAGAACATGGTTAGTTTATGCAGTGAAATGTGGGACGATGGGGAAAGCAGTAGCTGAATGCAGTACGCAAACGATTCTCTACGAGGAAGCTTCATGCCAGCATCTTACTGCCAGACTATAAGAGTCCTTTCAACAGACTCCTCCAGGATGTGGCAGACATTGATTTAAACCTCTTTGATAGAAGCCTCAGCGTGTTTTTGTAAGCATTTTTTTCCCAAGCTGTCCCAAGTCTTCGAACATAAGCCTGGAAAACAAGCATCTTCTAAGGTCCTACTGGAGGACTGGACCTTGATCTCACGCAGAGCAGGTACCTTGATGACTTCCTTGGCTGCCGCCCTCATGGCCCCGTGATATTTCTTGTGCTGGACGTGGTCTCTCGCTGGACGTGGCGCAGCACATGCGCAGGTCTTTACAGCAAGTATTCGGTGCAAGTAGATAAAGTGGCTTTAGCACACCGTCACAAGCAGCGCTTATCCTTCATGGTCATTAACATGTTCAAAGTGGACGTCTTTGCGTCGGGAGCCAATGCACCCCCTTTACTCTTCAAGTGTGTGTGTGTGTGGCTGGAACTGGTGTCTTTCAAGAGGAAGATATCAAAAATTGAATCTCCGCTCCACCGCCCCAACCCACCCGGCGCTGAACATGGGGTGTGTGTGTACCATGAAGCTTGAGTTCATAATTGCATCCCCACACACCCCCCCTCCATGTTTGCGTTAGTTGGTTGAAGCCCCACTGAGAGCTCTCTGAGGACGAGCGTGTGCCCTTGCTCTTGCGCGCGGTGAAGGCGGACTTGGAGAGTGAAGAGTCGCACCTGGGTGATTCCTTTTGACCTATTGGACACTAGCATTTTGGGGGTCCAAATCCCTGCTTTGACACATATCCACCTAAAAATGGGCAAACCTACTGCGGATGGTGACAAAATTGTTGGCACCAGCTGCCATGGAAGCCCGACTTGAATGGGAGAACAAGCCACCCACCGGTGCGAAGTGGATTTTGGCCATCCACGATGTGTTGGAGACCCACATAGGGGAACCGCGTTTTCATCCACTGGAGACTCAGTGTTCAGACTCTTTTGAAGGTGCTGCTCAGGCTTAGTGGATGTGCTACTTGGGCATCTGGAGCCCGCCTTGCGATCCAGGTTGAAAGTAGGTGTGGCTCAAAGGGTTGAGCATAGCTCTCACAATCCATTTAGGGAATTATACATTTTCTTTGATTGGAGAACAGTATGTCACATGTTCGCAAGGAACTCGTCGCTGTCACATTCACTCCGCCCTACCCGTGTTTTCCTTTCAGGCGTTTCCTGTCAAGTTCCATATGGGTGCCAGGGAACTTCTGAAGCTTTCCTTGGGTCTGCGTGAAGCCAGAGAGATCCTGGCATGCAATTCACACTGGAGGCAGCTTGCCTAGTTCATACTCACTTTCAACCAACACCATGAATGTTGACAACACAGGGGGCTGCTTTTGAGCCACTGGCGACCTTTTTGGTTTTTTTCTGAAGGTTCCCATGCGACAAGGTTCCGAAGTGCTTGGGGCTGGAAGAGTTTGCATGTGGAGCCTTGCGCCGTGTTTTCCTTGTGGCTCCTCGAAAGATGGTAGGGTTGCTCCAAGCCAGAAAAACTGCTAGACCACCAGACCACGGTTGAGTTCTGTTGTTTTTCCATGTCCAAGTGCCCATTTGGGTAGACGAAATTGGTAGAAGGAGTCCCATGTGCTCCCTTTTCCAGCACCAGTTGTCCGCGGGTATGGGAGTTGTCCAGGATACAGTTTCCCTTCACAGGAAGCCCCGGGGCCCTGGGATGGGCTTCGGCATGAATCCAATGCTTTGGAAGGGCTGGACAGAGGCATGGGTGTTGAGCAGCGTGCATCTGACAGGCTAAATTATTGGCCTTGGTTGAAGGGAAATATATATTACATACATACATACATACATACATACATACATACATACATACATACATACATACATACATACATACATACATACATACATACATACATACATACATACATACATACATACATACATACATACATACATACATACATACATACATACATACATACATACATACATACATACATACATACATACACATACATACATACATACATACATACATACATACATACATACATACATACATACATACATACATACATACATACATACATACATACATACACATACACATACATACACACACATACATACACATACACATACACACATACACACATACATACATACACATACATATACATACATACATACATACATACATACATACATACACACACACATGCACATACACATACACATACACATACACATACACATACACATACACATACACATACATACACATACACATACACATACACATACACATACACATACACATACACATACACATACACATACACATACACATACACATACACATACATATACACATACACATACACATACACATACACATACATACATACATACATACATATCATGGCGTCTCAAGGAACCGGTGACAGACAATCCGCCAATCTAGGGATCACGTTTGCGCCAATGCTAAAGGTTCAGGGACCTGTTACGGAATACGGTCTTGGAGTTGCGCCGGGTTCCACACGCCACACCCGCAGCTTCTTTCATTCAGAAGCTTGCCTCTTTTTCGGTGTTACGCGCTACCCTTCTGGTTTCACCCCAGGCAGGGGCAGGGCATTGGGGCGCTTGGCTCACTCTTGTAGGTCCGTCCGGGTTTCTTACGTGAGGCGCTTGTTCCGGTTTGGCGTCCATGTGAAGAGGGTCCATACTTAGCGGAAATCAGCATATGTTGAGGGCTTCCTAGTTCTAGTGGTTCCATGTATGTCTGCGCTTGTGTCAGCAAAGACCGCATCACTTCCCATGGGGCAGTTTGGCCATCATTCTGCGACTGTGGTTGCGCCAAACCTGGCCAAAAGTGCTGGAGACACATACGACGAGCTTAAGGGGACATGGGTAGCCTGATAGCCAGTACTATAGTGCTGTTACAGCAAGCGGGAAAGACTGAATAAGCATGACTGTTTTTTGGAGGAAAAGCCATGTACCCTTTTGGTTTCAAGCAAGACCCATTCCTAGAGAAGCCCAGGACGTACCCGGTGGCCAATAGAGTACTGGACCGCTGACCATAGCCACCCTTTGCCCTTCAACCTTGAGGGTTCTACCCGACCTTTGGCCACGCCTGGATGTTGTTGTGTGTAGGTAGCCAGGAGGGATGGCTACGCAGCCTTTAACACTGGCACATATTGGAGTTTCTCAACATGTCATTGTGCATCCCCTTGTACTTGAGGGAAACCCGAAAGAACAGCGTTGCTATCTTAGGGACCGATTCTTTTTGGTCCTAAAACCCGTACTTGAAGTTGCGCATCATCGATTTGTGCGATTGCAATATCCGTAGGCACGAGGTGGACTTAATCTAGCTGTTGCACGCCGCAATCATGGGTGCCAAATGAAAGCCCGCTGAATATGATGACCCACTTGTGAATTGTGTTTATCGTATTCGGTTTGCCCAACACTTGGGCTTTCTGTATGTATGCTGCCCTGTCATTGGTGTTGTATTAGGGCATTTCTTGGATGGTTTCTTTTCTCATGCGATGTTTGTTGCGGAATGGATCGGATCCTGTCCATCCAATCTTGTCGTTCCTTCCTGGAGCTTGTCTCAACGGCTGTGGCATATTTTACTTTTGGGTTGCCTCAAACACACACGGCCAAGGCAATTTGCGAATACTGACAACCGCCGGGGGAGAGGGAACACTGGGCACATGTCGAGGCCATACTAGCAGCACGAAGATAGTGAGAACCAACGCGACGCGTTGGTCGAAGCCACAGCCAAACCTTGTAGTCGTAGTCTCTTTGTGTTCCCTGCTTCTCTCCCGGCCTGCTGCATTCTAAGTTAAAACTGGGGCTTGTGGTCTCATGGGTCAAGGTTTCTTGGGCTTGGCCCATGAGTTTGGACTGAGTCCCTGGGTCCCACCCTTGGCCCAGAGGCAAGATGGTCTCTCCAGCAACATAGTCAAATCTCCTGCACCCAGGCAACTTGCGAGATGCCTCGTGGCCACGTGACCACGAGTGATCAATTTGCTTTCCTCAGTCTCGTGAGACTGCCAGGCATCAGGCAATGACACCTGTCGCAGTCTCAGGCAGGGGGGAGGGCAGTACGCAGTTGTTTGGAGTTGTGCTTTGCCTCGATGAGTGTTTATGTGTGTGTGTGTGTGTGCGCGTGTGTGTGTTTGTTTTGTTTCAGCAGAGGTTCTGTATGTGTTCCTAGCTTGGATGTCTTGCATGGTCGGCTCCTTTGTGTTGGCTTGCGATGTGTGTTGATAGCGGTTGAGTGTTTGGGTTGACGTTTGTCTTGGCTGTTCCGCCTTTTGTCTCTGTTTCCTTTGGTTGATGTTCTTTAGGCCTTCGGACCTCCAAGGCCTTCCTGAATGTATCGCACATGTTTGCCAGCCGGGCTTTGAAATCCCAATCGTGTGGTGGTTTTTGGTTGGTTATTTGTGAGTGCGTTTGCTTCTTTGTTTCTTAGTTTTTCTTTCTTTGTTGTCTTGCTTGTTTGCTTGCTTGCTGGCTGGCTGGCTGGCTGGCTGCTGGCTTGCTGGCTGGCTGGCTGGCTGGCTGGCTGGCTTGCTGGCTTGCTGGCTTGCTGGCTTGCTGGCTTGCTGGCTTGCTGGCTTGCTTGCTTGCTGGCTTGCTGGCTTGCTGGCTTGGCTGGCTTTGCTGGCTTTGCTTGCTGGCTTGCTTGCTTGCTTGCTTGCTGACTTGCTGGCTTGCTTGCCTGCTGGCTTGCTGGCTTGCTTGCTTGCTGGCTGGCTGGCTGGCTGGCTTGCTGGCTTGCTGGCTTGCTGGCTGGCTGGCTTGGCTTGCTTGGCTTGCTGGCTTGCTGGCTTGCTGGCTTTGCTGGCTTTGCTGGCTTGCCTTGGCTTGCTTTGCTTTGCTTGCTTGTTTGTTTGCTGGCTTGCTGGCTTGCTGGCTTGCTTGCTTGCTTGCTTGCTGGCTTGCTGGCTTTGCTGGCTTTGCTGGCTTGCTGGCTTGCTTTGCTTTGCTTTGCTTGCTTTGCTTGCTGGCTTGCTGGCTTGCTGGCTTGCTGGCTTGCTGACTGGCTTGCTTGCTTGCTGGCTTGCTTGCTGGCTTGCTTGCTTGCTTGCTTGCTTGCTTGCTTGCTTGCTTGCTTGCTTGCTTGCTTGCTTGCTTGTGTGTGTGTGTGTGTTTGTTTGTTTGTTTGTTTGTTTGTTTGTTTGTTTGGTTGATTGTGTGTTTGTGTTGCCTTGCTTTTTGCTAGCTTGCTCGCTTGTTTGCTTGTGTGCTTGTGTTTGTGTTTGTGTGTGTGTGTGTGTGTGTTTGATAGTGTATTTCTTTTGTTCTTTCCTTTTTTCAGTATTTATGTCTGTCTTTCTTTCTCTCTTTCTTTGTTTGTTGTTTTTGTTTTTGTTTGTCTTTGTGTCTGTAGTTGTGTTTGTTTGTGTGTTTGTTTGTGTGTGTGTTTCATTTATGTAGTATTTTGTTTGTTTCATTTCTTGTGTTTGTTTGGTTTGGTGATTTGTTTGTTTGTTTCGTGGCTTTTTGGGTTTTGTTGCGGTTAACACTTGTGTTAAAAGTAACAACCGATAGCGGAAAGCATTTGAATCACACTCAGATTCGAACCTTGAGTGCCTGCAGGATGACACTGCTTGATTCATGCTCCGTTCGCCATTTTGGCGAATTAGCCAAATTTTTCTTTTTTCTTTCCGACCTACCTGCCCTGCCTGCTCGACCGCCATGACTGCTCCAGCGAATTTCGCATCCATCGTGGAGGAGTACCAGCTCATGGAAATGACCGAGCTCGACCCGGATTATGAACGACTGTACCGGGCCCTTCAAGACCATCTTTCGATCCTGCCCGAGGCGGTCGGTCCGGGCAACATCTTGCAGGGCAATCAGGTCTGCAACCATTTCATCAACCATTCCGGCTGCAGGGGACGTGCACCTGCCTCTGACCACCAGTGCGCCTTTTTGCATCCGGAGTTCGTTGATGCGCGTTGGATGCCGCGAGACAACATTTGTTACCGACATCTTCGACAACAGGCCCGGCATCCAGAAGGCTTTTGCGACAGTGGTACCGAATGCCGCCATGTTCACAGCGACTCAGTCCTGCATGGTGACCTTCTTGCCTGGCTGCGCTTCGTGCACCATGCCAGACCCAACACCGGCGTGGGCATCCACTATGACACAGCCCACCGTGAATGGCGCTTCGTGTCCAGGCGGGAGGCCTTTGAAATCCTCCGCGACCACCTTCACGGCGAGTGGAACACGCCCATTCACCACATGAACGTTCGGTACCCCGATCCGTGCACCTACCAGATGCCATACGCGGTACCACGTGGCCCGCCAAGCACATTGAACCCGTCTCGCCAACGGAACAACACCCCCCGACAGCAGCGAGGCCGCTCCACACAACCGGGATACTCCCGAGCTATGACACCACCGCGGACCGTCAACTTCGCGACACCCACGGCTCGCGACACTCCCAGACAGGCCCGATTCCCGGAGGCGACCACCACATCGACCGGGCCCGTCCCGCACCACATGCCTTCACCACGCCCGCAACCCACCACACCATCCAAGGCGGCACCCCCCACACCATCCAACCAACATCACGACTTAGTCCAGTGGCTCCAGCCGCCAGGCATCGACCGTGACGACAGCACACAAGGCCTGCTGTCAACCCAGCGGGCCGGACACATCCGCGCGCGGGTACACGAAGATGCCACCTTCCTGATCAATCCGGAACTGCTACCGGAATTCCCCTCCGTCCTCGACCACATCGGCTTGCAATGGCACCTGACCAACTACGGCATCTTCTCGCGCACCCCCACCAATGTGTACGGCAATGACTTCGGGGGCCTTTTTCTTGTACCCGTGGAACCAACTACGCAGGTCACACCTCTCAGGAGCCTGCTGCGCTGGATTATCCAGCAACACGTTCACCAACAACTCCAGCTGCTCAACAGCGCCAACCGGCAGCACATGCTACAACAACTGACCTGTTCCTGGCTTACCTTCGGGAGGCAGCTCTGTCGCGCCTCCCGGCGAGACCCTTTTGTGGACAACATGGCAATCACCTTCGGGGAGACCATCATTGAGACAATTTCCAATTTCCTGACCCCCGAACAACGCACCATGGCGACCATCGAGGGCATCCTGCTCGGCCCCGACGGACACCTGCGCTTCAACCGGGAGCTCTAAGACTGAGCAGAGCCAGGACTCCCGCTACTGACCAGGCGGCACCGAGGAGTCCCCAAACCAGCTACCCTAAGTTGACCCACCAAGTCCATGTCCCGTGCGATGGTGGGCCAGCAATAGGGCGATGACCCTCATACCGCACAGGTGACACCCATGCCTAGGCGACCGCCTGAGGCCCCCTTTTCCCGAAGAGAGATCCATCTTCGGACCGCGCAAAAGCGCTGAGTGCCTCGAGCCCGGGTCGACCCTCTTCGTCCCCCCTGTTTGATTCGAGAGGATACCCCTTGACAAACCGACCCACTGCTGAGGCCCATTCTGCGGTGACCAATCCCCACTCGCCTGCCCCGAACCCGACCGGTCTTTCACCCCACTTCGGATCCCCTGTGGATTACCCTCGGTTTCTTCGGGTCGGATCCCTGATGACAAACTGGCCGACCCCGGTCACCCTCACACCGCAGGGAGTTGGTCCTACGGGACAGCTCCACCCCTCGGGATGACATTTGTGCCGGTGTGGCGTGTCATCTAACACGACGTTTGTGCCGGTGTGGCGCGTCGTATAACACGACGTTTGTGCCGGTGTGGCGCGTCGTACAGATCCCCCCCATCAACGGGCCATCCTTGGACCCGAGTCACCAAGACACTCCCCCCTGGCCCGACCAACCCCCCCTCCCCTTGACTCACACCCGGCACACTACCGACTCCTGCGTGAGTTCGGCAAGCGCCACCTCCAATTCCGAAGGAATTTTCAGGCTGGCTTTTGTGTATCCGATATCGCACCCCCTTCGCACAACATGGCACTTCGCGAGACCGACGCAGTCTGCGAGCTCCTCCTGCGGTCCTACAACACCGGCGTCCTCTCGAGGTTCCAGACCTTCCGCACCGAGAATCCCCGCCTCTCCACCACGGACGCGATCGACCTCTTCATGGAGTCGACCAACACCGAGCCGGACACACGGACACGCTACCTGCTGCTGGACTGGCACAACCTGAATCCAACACCAGCCACACTGCAGTGCTCGTTCTGCCAGATCCCATACCAATCCCAGTACATCATGCCCCTCTGCTTCTCAGAGGAAACCGACTGGCGAAACAAGTGGGTCGGGGCGTGCTACGGGTGCGCTACCTGCGACACCAGTAGCGTGCCGTGGTTCCAGTTCGAGGAGCTCCTGGCCGACCCGAACTCCCTGATTGCAGAACACGCACCGTACAACACCATCGCAGAGCACCCCGACCTCGCGGCCATGATCAGCGACCATACCATCGCCCCACCGACCTTACAGATTGCGGTGCCAGAGACGGACGACGCTCACGACGCCTACATCACCGTGCACAGGTGGGATTAGGAACCGCCGCTGGATCAGGGTACCAGCCCTCGACGTGAAGAACCGCCGGCCATTCACCCTCGAGGTGTTCAGCAAGCTGTGCCGACGAGCATGGCGACGCCGCTTGGACTACATGACCAACAAGGCCGTCGGCACCATCCGCACGAACACCCACATGGACATGATGGACTCCTTGCGCGAGATCCACCCCGGAACCTCCAACAACAACCTGCGCCGCCTCATCAGCGACCACTCCAAGTTCCTCGCCGAAACCATGTGCCTCGACCTCATCAACCTGGCACCCGAGGACCGACGAGACCTATTCCTCATGTTCCACAAATGGGAGAGGCAGCACCTCACCGAGGCATTGCGCGCAAACAGCACCGGGACCCTCCTTGAGTTCTTGGACTCTGACGACTATCCCACACACCTCACCGATTTCATCACCCGCGTCCTCCCGTCCACCGACGAGCACTTTATCTGCCGACGTCAGTCGTGCAAAGCGGTGGTACATTCGTCACATTGGCTGCGCGCCACCGCCAACATCACCGAGCACGGCCAGTTCTTCTGTCCCGAGTGCCTCCAGCAATACCACCCCT